CGCCAACTCAACACCAACAGTTACCAACAGAAAAGGAGTTAGTTTCTGCCTTTTCGAAAAAGAAAACCTCAACCGCACTTTGCACCAAACTGTGAACAACGAAAGACGAGCTTCTAACACCTGCTCTCAGTTTACCCTGCCACGATCTGAACCCAAAACTGTTTCGTGAACAAAAGAAACTAAAGGGTCAGAACAACCACGAGTTAAACCGTCTACGTGCTGGTCTAAAGAAAAAGGGTTGGCACACCACAAACGAAGAAACCACAAATAAAAACGAGGAGGTCAAGGAACACCCGACAACCGACACAACAAACGTAAAGCGCACGGTGGCTACTTCTTGAGCCTTCATGCTCATGAGACGTATGTGAGAGCAACGAAATTACAACACCTACCCGTGCTTTCTGTTTTTGGGTCCCCGTTTACGCTATTGCTTCAACTTGGTTATCTTGCGATATGCTCTTACGCAATGCATTGACGTGCCATAATATTTGGCTCAAGGTATGTGCGTGTGAAAACGGCCGCTCGATCGCCTTCGCTCACTCGCTCTTGTGAACCTTGTTGGACTGTGAGTTGAATCCAGGGATACTGTGTATTATTACACGCTCCACTGCGGGGAATTTGACCCTCGCCCCACCCCCCCACCCCCCCCCAACACCATGTGATGACATGACCAAGCGTTGTGGAGTCCGAAAATGTCAGAAAAGTGGGTCCGGTTTTCAGTCGTCCCTAGGCAAAACTAGCAGCAGGTAGGGAAACCAAAAAAACACGTGCATGCAGCGCATGCATACAGCGCTGAGCAATTATACATGTGCTGCCCGAATAGATGTTCTAACACATGCACAGTGCATCTTAACCAATGGGATTGTTGCAACATGTTGCAACTGACATCTAGAAGCACTTCACACTGCCACAGGTTCACCACAGCATGTCCAGTTGAGCTGGAATCTGACGGTTCCTCAAACCTAACACTGTGACATGACACTCACCTCGACCGGATCTCACAACCCTGCCGATACATACACGCCTGACATATTGCGCTGGGGTTCCCCGCGCAGTGCCTCGCACGCGCGGCGCCACTCGACCACGCGCAGGTCTGATGCATTCCTCCTGCTGCTTCTCGATTTTTTCGATCTCAAAGTGCGTCTTATATGTGCAGGCTCACAAAAAGCGGTGGCTGGGACTTCGTTTCGGTGACCCTCTACAGGGATGGTGCGTGTCGACGTGCCCGAAACTGGTGGCGAGACGCGAATTTTAGGGTCAAAACTTAGGCGCCATGCTCGTTTTCGGACAGACGTGCTGCAAATACCGCTAAAATCTCTTGGCCTCTGGTGGGCCTCCCTCCTCATGGTGTTTCGCGTGTTGCGTCAAGGCCCATGAACGACCACCAGGCAACATGACCACCATAGACCCCGTATATCACCACCATAGACCGACGTGCGCAAGCTCACCACCACCACCATATATAGCCACCAAAGTCCATAGACGACGCACGGCCACCAAGCAACATCACCACTACGGACCGCCTACACCAGTCACCGCCAGTCACATCACCACCAGAGACCGACATGCACGAACTCACCACATGGTGGCCTTGGCCACCACAGGCCACAGACCATGCACGACCACCATGCAACATCACCACTATAGACCACCATGGCCCACCATAGACCACCATGGATCACCGTGCATATTTGTTCACCCACATTGTTTGGGGTCTCTTGCCGGAGTAGTTCCTTCTTGATTTTGTTCTTGTGTTTCTTCTTACTCTTATGTTTCTGTGTCTTCTTCTGCTGGTTTTCGTTTTTGTTTTCTTTCTTGTTCTTGTTCTTGATCTTCTATTTTTCCTTCCTCTTCTGCTTCCGTTTTCTCTTCCATTTTCCGGTTGTTCTTCTACTTTCTTCTTATTATGTTTCTCGTCTTCTCTTCATTTCTTTTTTTTGAATCTGTTTCTTTTCCTTTTCTGTTCCTTCTCTCTTTTCCCTGTTCCCTTCTCCGTCACCCCTCTCCTAACCTCTCTCCACCGTTCCCGGGGACAAATCAAGACAAAGCCGGGCACCTCGATCTAGCACCTGTCTCTTTACTCTTTACTCTCACTGTAAGAACCCCTTTGTGTGTACCACACTGTTTGGGGGAAAAATCAAAATGAGGATGAGAGTCAAGATGACGATGAAGATGAAGACTAAAGATGAAGATGGAGATGAAATTGAAGCAAGCTAGAAGTGAGAAGAAAAGATGAAGAAGACAAAACAAACGACAAATGTCCGCTATCAAAAATAGCGTCCTTCACGCTGAAGAGCAGTTGGTGGTGC